TCAAACCCAGCCCTACTCTACTTTTGACGGTCACTCGGTCACTTGGGGTTGACCAATGCGATGATCAGCGAACATGCAACATGCTTCAACAATTGTCGAGGTCATGCTGGATAAGCCTATCCCAGCTATTCCAGTTGTAAATGGGTCAGTTTCTATGTTAACTGCGAACTGAGTTCATAAACTCTCATATACCCTGCTATCAAACAGTCACAGTTTGACATTGTCAGAAAAGCATCTGTGTTTGTGTGTGTTCGTCTTCTTCTTATTTCAACAACAGTTTCCAGCATGAGCTGATGCTAGTCGAAGGTTAGAGCTTCTATTGTGAATTGCTATTGAGAAAAACTACCCGCTCCCAACTATTCGCCAGCATAGAGCAGAATTTAAGCCGAATGTGACCAATCGATTATCGACTCGACTATAGCCATAATTAGAGTCTAAACATTGAGCTTGAGCCAAGATCACGCCCGAAGGTGAGCAGCTGCAACAGCAATTGGAGCAAACCGTAAGCGATCGCAGTTGGTCAAGAATTGTTTTTCCAGTGAACACAACAAGTTCAATGTTAATCGCTGGCCGAATAACAATCGATCGCAGCCAAAGATTTATTTGAGTTCAAAGTTCTGTCTCTGGCTTTCTCCTGTTGATCTTAGTCAAGAAGCCAGGGAAAAGCCAGACAACCAGAATGTGCCCAAGTGCATTAGCATTGTTGTTGTTGTTGTTGTTGTTCGAGTTGGCACTTAGTTGCGAGCGAGTCGCTTGAGTGTCTAAGCCCACAAATGGATGTACTCGCATTCGTACCTTAACAACAACAGCAACAACAACAACTGGCATAGACATCGTATAAACTATGCAAATAGCAGGTCGTAAACTAACAAGAGATCACAATACAACTGCGACGCGACCTCAATGTGTGTGGCGCTCGATGCCGCTGCTGCTGATGGAGTTTGGCTTCTTTTTATACCCTGTAAACCATTGAATGGGCCAACAGCTTGTTATTCTTTATGCGTGTGTATAGGTGCCAAGTCCAGGCGAGCTTTCAGCTGCACACCTGGATATATCCAATTTCTTGAGGCGAGAAAATACACTACAGAGATTATTAACAATAAATCATTTGTGAACTGTGATATGCAACAAATATATCCAATCTATAGAGGTTAACTTTCCTCTTGTCTAGAGGTTAAAGGGCAAGTATTTCTAAAAGCTTTTCGATTATGATTAAGTTGACTTGAAGTTACTTTTCGTCTGTTGCTTAGGCTGAGAGTGCGAGTGTATCTAACGTTATTGTTCAGCTTGTTACAGGGTATACACTCGTCTATATTACGCTACTTTGCAGCTTGTTATAGGGCATGTACTCGCATATCTTGCGCTACTTTGCAGCTTGTTATAGGGTATGCACTCGTCTAATACTTTCCACAGAGGCATTTCTTTTGTACTCGTTGTGTTTGTCAATGCAACTCAATTAGAATAGCCGCTGGCTTATGTTGTTGTTGTTGTTGTTGTTGTTGTTGTTGTTGTTGTTGTTGTTGTTGTTGTTGTTGTTGTTGTTGTTGTTGTTGTTGTTGTAACAGAAGCTGTCATTGAACTTTGAACAAACGCATAGAGAGCAGGGTCGCAGCGGGGTCGTCGCAGCCGGAGTTAGGGTTGGGTCTGCCGCACAAAATTAAAGTTGGTAATGGCAATAGTCAAAAGCAATGCCACCAAAACACACACACACACACGCACACACACACACACACACACGCACACACACGCGGTTTATAGCACACTTGAACCCATAAATCAACGCAGTCGTCCAACCGATCCATTGTGGAGCGACCTCGTGCCCCATACCCTTACCCCCGCCCACTACCCATTTGAACGCTTATCCCCCCTCTCTCTCTCTCTCTCTCTCTCTCTCTCTCTCTCTCTCTCTCTAAATGTATATATATACATATTGTATATATTCTTTCCGTTTTGTGCGTCCCTGGATTTTATCAGCCTGTGTGCCTGCAGCTTCAGCTGCCCTTCGTGCTGCAATGCGCCACTTGGCTGACTGATGATGGCACACAACTAGACAGCAATTCCAAGAGAGAGAGAGAGAGAGAGAGAGATGGTCAGTCAGTCAGTCAGTCGTGTCGTGTCATGTCATGTCAGCAAGTGCCAATTACCGCTAAGCCTCCAAAAATCTTTGTGACTCACTCGACCGCCAAGCGACTCTTGTGCCTCGTCTCTTGTCGTTGGCTGTTGTCAGTTACCTGTTAAACATTTCCAAACTCCAATCAGCCCGTCAAGCGGTAAATCACAACAAACCTGCGTCTGTGTGTGTGTGTGTGTGTGTCAAATACATCACTTATCCAAACACTCGACCAAAGTGAAGTAAGTCCATAAAACTCTCAGTTGTATTGACTTTGTCTTTCAAGTTCTACATGGCGAAAGATACATACATAAGTCAGCTGCTGCCAGAACATTATTTACAGAATGCGCTTTTCACGAGGCAATTGTAGAAAACCCATTTCCAGTCAAAAGTTCTATGGTGCTTGCCAGAAAATCGCATTTCTCGCGGTAGCTTTTTAGCTGAATAAGTAACTCAGTTCATAATCATAGTTCGTATTAAGTTTTCTCGGCGTTTAAAACTAAGCGGAGCTCTTCAACTTTTCTCGTATTATCTCTGCCCCATTTATCAGCACAACCTGAGCTCTATCCAGATTTGCAAGTTCACAAGAATTCTGTCGCGTAACACTTAGGAGAGGGCTACGAATGTTGGATTTGTTGCCAGTAGCTCGCATTTGTATTACTTTTCAGCATTGTTTCACGTGCTTACGATTGCTTGGAGTATTATGTTAACAATATAATACAATTTTTTTCCTGTTAAGAGAAACAAACGCAATCGAACAAACTTTTATAGGAAAACTATCTTGCGAATATATTGGGAAGATAAGTCGATTGCATTTCTAGTTGTCTGCAATTGGAAGCTGATTCTAGTCAAAACTAAAAGAGATAGATGCACATCGATTGTTATCGATAAATTTAATCGATTATAATTCATAAATATCATCGTTTGTCTTTCATCGGTTAGTTAGTTTTAAGCTCTCTTCTCCTCAAGCACAAGCGCACCTTTCAGCTTAGCTGCAGGCTTTTTCATAATTTGATGTCGTATATAATTGGGATGACGCTCGTTTTTAATAAACAAAATAAATATAGATAACTATGGACGGGCTGAACGCCCGCTTGACTGACTCTTCGTGTTGCTCTGCCCAAAGGAAAACAACAACAATAATAACAAAGTTTATTTTTCTTGCGAGAAGTTTTCTTTTAGTGCATGGTTTGCTCTTGGAATTGTCGGATATTATTCTTTCCTAGGAAAGTTACAGCTGTATAAATATTATTATAATTATGTTGTTGTTGTCGTTGTTGCAACGTGACGAAAGTCGCGACGAGTTTAGCCAAATCTGTGTGTAGCTCCTTTTTCCTGCCAGTCGCCGACTTCCTCTCGCAGCTCTCACTCGCTCTCTCTCTCTCTCTCTCACTCACTTGGCTTCCCTCTAGCTCTCGCTCTGGCTAGCTGCCAGTCGTAGTCTTTAGTACGTGACTTATGTATAGGAGAATTACTTAACACTTGCCAACTCTGACAACGACAACAACTGCGGAGACTTAAGCGACAACTTTGGGCGATAAAAAGCGCTCAACTATCAGCGACTGCGACTGCAGCTGGAATAATGCCAATCATCAAAGGGGTTGGCTAGCAGTGGAGCTTGAGAGAGAGAGAGAGAGAGCGAGAGAGAGAGGGAGGGAGGAGGGGGGGGGGGGTTTAGCTGCAGCGGCTCAGCTTTGATTATTATTGTTGTTTCTCCTCCTCCTGCTGTTGTTATTGGTTGGTGCCGCTGAAACGGAAATGTGTAACGTGTTTGCAGCTCGACTCGATGCAGCTGCGATTGAGCCGCGATCGAGACCTGGGCACGTACCAAAAAACTCTGCGCTGATTATTATGGCCAACAGTGCGGCGCATGGCAGCGGGAACGTCCGGATCGGGGCACACTCTGCAACGGGCACTTCATTAGGCACATAAACCATATGCCGCCAGTCAGTCAGTCAGTCAGTCAGTCAGTCAGTCAGTCAGTTGTTACCTTTTCTTTTTTTTTTTATATTTTTGGCGTGCTCTGCAACGCCCTCACTTTCAATACATTCCCTTTCATATTTGATTAACAACTGTTTTGTTTAAGCAACACTTTTTTGTTGCATTTTGCAACACTACTTGCGAATCTGGTCTGAATATCAAATATACTGAGACACAACTAAATGCGTATATCAGCTGACGAATTGTGTTTATTTCGCTGGCGAAACTTTCAGAAATAGAAGACTTCAGTCTTTCAACTACTTTAAACCCAATTTCAAATCTGTTTTTTTTTTTTGGCGGCGTCTTTAAAGCGCTTTTAATCGTTCGGGTTCGCCACTTAATTCCAATTAAAATCCCATTCTGAAGCAAAACTCTTGTCGAATCATTTCTAAAACCCATTTTTGGAACAACTCTTTAAACGCTTTGCAGACAGTTTTTGATGCTTCTCAATTTTCGTGGACTCATTTAAAATGGTTAAAAAAAGGGAAGCAGCTCCGAGCCGAGTCCGTCCGTCTGTCCACGCAAGGATCTCAGAAGTTTTAAGAGAAAGACTTAACCAATCCGTTCAGATTTAATCGAGCCATAAGACGATCTAGTTTCAACATGTTTAAAGTGGCCAAATATTTGTCAACTGTCTTCCGATTTGTTTAAAAATATATTTTAAGCTGCTTTAGAAACATTCTCAAGCGAGCTTAAGTTGTGAGCCTGACTCAAAGAGGGCCTTAATCGCATAAATGCTTTTCTTAAAGAATACTTTTGAATACTTTGAAATGGATTTGAAAGCTCTCTAATTGGACTTAGTTTGAATATATACTGTAAGTGCATAGAAAGCTGAACCAGTTTTGGATCGGTTGACATTCGTTTATTTGGAGACAATTTGTAATCGTTTGTTGTGTTTGATTCCTTGCAGATAAGTCAGCTAACTAGCCAGGGGATCATCGTTGGCAGCGCTGCCAGCGAAGGATCGGAGGCAGTTGGTGCTGTCACCAGCGGCAGTCCACAGCACAAGTTGCTGGGCATTGGGGATAATTCGAGCGGCGCTGGCGCCGTCAAACTGCGCAAGCAGAGCAGCGAACGAACGACGCCGGACGCCAAATCGCACGCCTCCTATCGCATCTCCATGGCCAATCTGGAGGATACACAAGAGTCCGAGCTGGATCTGATACTCGGCGAGCTGAGCTTGCTCGAGGCCCAGATCAGCTACGGTGAGGCGAGCTTTCTGCCCGGCGTGGCAGCTGCCACCGCCGCCGGTCTTGGCGTTAATGCTGTTGGAGGTTTGGCTACTCCGCCGCCTCCGCCGCCACCTGGCCTGGCCACCGTATCGGCAGCCTCGTCGCGCACACATTCACGCACAAACAGCAGCATATCCGGCGATGTAAGCACCACATCCTCCTCGTCGGGCATCTCAGAGAACGGCAATGGCCCCAGCAGCATTGGGCTCAGTGCTGCTGCAGGCAATGGCGGCGGCATCGGAATTGGAGTCATGGGCATCACCACTGGACACATGACCATGGGCATTACGCTGGGCGTTGTGACGCCACGTGAGCCGCGCACCGAATCGCCGGACAATGATTCGGCATTTAGTGACACCGTTTCGCTGCTCTCCAGCGAGTCATCCGCCTCGTCCAACACCTCGCTGCAGCAGCAGCAACAGCAGCAGCAGCAACAGCAACAGCTGCAACAGCAGCAGCAACTGCAGCAACTGCAGCAGCAACAGCAACAGCAGCAACAGCAACTGCAACAGCAACAGCAACTGCTGCAACAGCAGAAAGTACATTTGCAGCAACAGCTGCAGCAACATCATCAGCAGCCGCTGCAGTCCTCAACAAAGGCAGCCAAAATACAGCTGGCGCTGCACAAGCTCGAGAGCGCCTCCGTGAGGCGTCTCTTTGTCAAGGCGTTCACGTCCGATGGTGCGTCCAAGTCGCTGCTCGTGGATGAGCGCATGGGCTGCGGCCATGTGACGCGCCTGCTGGCCGACAAGAATCATGTGCAGATGCAGCCCACGTGGGCGCTGGTCGAGCACTTGGCTGATCTGCAAATGGGTGAGTGGATAGCAAAAGCAAAAGCAGCACGTATATGAGCAGTTCCAAAGTTCCGAAATTGAAGGGCAATCAGCAAAACAGACCACAGGCAGACAGAGATGGATAAAATACAATAAAATATACCTAATATACTAGATATACACACTCTTCTAGAAGCTACATGACTAGTTTGATGACTGCCAGGCGGACAGACAGCCGGACATGGCTGAATCAAGAATATATACACTTGATGAGATCGGAGATGCTTTCTTCTGCCAGTTACATACATTGGCATAAATACATTCTACCCATTTTTAATGAGGCCAGGGTATACAAAAACGCAAGATTTTATTAACTTTCCGGAACGCCTCTCTCAATAATAAAATTAAAATAATAAATAAATATATGTCACGTAGCGTGTGACACGTCGCGTTTAATATTATCGCTTGAATCCAAAAAGAAAATAGGTAAATTATTAATTGAAAGCCAAGTGTAATTTATTGGATTAAGTAAAAAGATTGCATCGCCGACTTTTGAGTTGCAAATGAAAATCAATTTCCATTTTGCTTGTCACGTAACGTGTCTCCATTTCCAGACAAGATCTAGCTGCTTGGAGCAGTTTGTTCGCGAGAGACCCGGTTAGCTGCAGGCCAAGGCATAAACTAGGTTCGGTTTATGCTGGGCGAGATCTGATAGAACTATAAGGCAGTAGGTCTTTGGGGAGGTAGAAGCATCTTGTTCCACTGCAAAATGCATGTCGAGTCTTGGCTCTGGAATTGCCCATCTACATATGCCTATGCCCCGTCAATTGGTTACGACAATTCAAATTTCTTGTCTTTGTTGCAGAGCGCCTGTTTGAGGATCATGAGCTGCTGGTGGATAATCTGATGACGTGGAATTCGGATGCCGGCAATCGTGTACTGTTCCAGCAGCGTCCGGATAAGGTGGCGCTCTTTGCCAAACCCGAGCTCTATTTGCCGGGGCCACAGATGGCGCCCGGCTCGCAGCATGATGATCAGACGCGTCACATGCTGTTGGAGGAGTTCTTTGAGACGCACGCCCAGCTGCAGCTGGACGGGCCGCTCTATATGAAGGCCGATCCGAAGAAGGCCTGGAAGCGGCATCATTTCGTGCTGCGCTCCTCGGGCCTCTACTATTTTCCCAAGGAGAAGACGAAGAACACACGCGATCTCGCCTGCCTGACGCTCTTCAGCGGCCACAATGTCTACACGGGCATGGGCTGGCGCAAAAAATACAAATCTCCGACAGATTATACATTTGGCTTCAAATCGGCGGTGGACTCGTCCCTGGGCAAATCCTGTCGCTCGCTAAAAATGCTGTGTGCCGAGGATGGCGTCACACTGGATCGCTGGCTGACCGCCATACGCATCTGTAAATATGGCAAACAGTTGTGGCACAATCATAAGCTGCTCATGGAGGAGTTGTGCTCGGGCGCCGGCACCGGCGGCAGCTTTGCCGCCTCGATGCGCAGCGAATCGATTAGCAGCATCTCATCGGCGGTGCCATCGCAATGCGGCAGCGTCTCCTCGGCCATAAGCAGCATGTCGAACTCCAGCAGCGGACGCATCTCGCGCGCCTCCAGCTCCAGTTCGAGTGGCTGCCTGTCGGATGAGAACAATGCCTTCGATTCGGAGTTCACAACCGGCACCATCAAGCGCAAACCCTCCATGAAGCCCAATCTGCCGCTGACCACAATGACGCGCCAGCTGAAGGAAGTGGGCGAAATAACCACCGGCCCCGTGGCGGTGGCCACAGCAGCCGCCACAGCGGTCGGCGAATCGGCTGCCTCGCCGGAGCGCAGCGGCACACTGACGCGACGGCACAGTCGCCGCAAATCGCAGGAGAGCAACGGCAGCAGCGGCGGCACGCTCAAGCGTCGCCCCGTCGTGGCAGTCAGTGCGGCGGTGAAGCGTGAGGTGATCTGCTCGGCGACAAACGATGGCGGCTCCTCGTCGTCCAGCAATTCAACGCCGACGCCCACGCCCAGCATTTGTGCCAAGCCGCCGCCCGGGCTCAGCGATGCGGAGCTAATGTGCTCATCCACATTGTCGCTGGACTCGCTGCCGCCGCCGCCCCCGCCACCCGCTTTGCATGCCGACGAGCAGGATGTGTACGGATCACAGCTATCGCTGGCCTCACTGCCACCACCGCCGCCGCCCGAGGATGTGCTGGCCTATGTGGAGCCCACATCGCCGCTGACGCCAACGCCCATGTCCATGGGCATGGGCATGCCCATAGGCATGGGCATGGGCATGGTCATGCCCAATAGCAATGGCACACTGCCGCCCGCGGTGCCCGCAAAGCCCATGAAGCCCGCTGTCAAGCAAACGCTGAAAGCGGCGCCACCCTACAAAGCGCCGCCCGACTATGTGGGACCCGTCGGCTTGGGCGGCACTGCAGCAGGCGGCCCAGTCGCCCAGTTGCCGCCGCTGCCGGCGCCCGTGCAAAAGAAGGTCTCGTTTGCGGACTCGCCGGTGCTGCTGCGCCGCAAAATGTGCTCACCGGAACCGCAATTGCCGATGCGTGCGCCCAGCACAACGCTCAGCACTGGCTCCAACGGTAGCGCCGGCGCCGGCGCCGGTTATTCCCAGCCGCAGCCCATCTACTCGCCCGGGCCGCTGCTGCCACCACGCAGCGATCTGTCGCGACTGTCCGGCTGCAGTCAGAATGGCAGCGATGTGATGACATCACCGAAGCGTCTGCAGGAATCAGCATCGAATCCGCCGCGCGATTTCCTTAAGGATCTGCAGCGTGTGATGCGCAAAAAGTGGCAGGTGGCACAGAAATGCAAACTGGAGCCGGCAACAACGCCGCACGAGGTGCTCGGCTTTCGTGATTTCAACAACGAGGATCTGCTTGCCGCCCACAATCTCAACTCGGGCGCCAACTCCTCGCATTACTATCGCGAGACGGCCAATGTCAGTCACTGGGTGCAGGAGCACTACGAATATGCGCACAACGAGTATGCGCTCTACGAAAATGTCCATGCCCAGAGCAATGGGGCGGGCGGCACCAGCAACAGCAACAATGCCACAACAACAGTGGATGCAGCTGGTCCGCCGCCAGTGCCGCCGCCAGCGGCTGTGGCAGATGCAACAGCGGCGCTGCGCAAAAAGCGTCCGCCTCCGCCGCCGCCCAAGCGCAGCGATTCCACGCATCTGACGCATCGTGTCTAGAAACTGGGAGATAATCGCTTCAGCAGAGTTGTCGCCAGTGCAGTGAGTAGACACATTCATTCAGTTCAAGGTACCCTAGCTCACTTTCCATCTCTCTCTCTCTCTTGCTCTCTGCAGGTGCCACGGTCTCTCTCTCTCTCTCGCCCTCTCTCGCATTCATTCTCCCGGATCTGCTGGCTTCAACGATCCTGCAACAACAACAACAACAACAACAATTTCTACGTGTCTAAACTTAAGTGCAAAAGCAAATTCCTAACTAAGAGCAAAACAAAAACAAAAACAGGCGAAACAACCCTAAATACTAGTACATAAGTCTGGTTGCGTCGAATACGCCCACTTCTCAAGTATTATATATTCAGTTCAGCTTCATTAGCCTATTTTTCATGTGTGCGGCAAAAGAGTTTCTCTCTAAATTTTGTAAAATACTGAGTGTACTGAGTGTGCACGCACAGCGCTGGGTATTTGTATAGGTGCACTACTGAAATATGTATTTAAACTTTGTGAGAAAGTTTCAGTTTTTACGAGCAGAAGGTAACATTTTAATTGTTATCAATTTAGTTGAGATAATGTGCCCAATGCCTTATCGTTAGTTAATGAGCTTTACTTTTATAAATTCGAAATATTGTTATCATTTTATTTTATGATTTTTATTATTCAATATTGATTATTATTTGTATGTTTATTATTTTCATAATTATTATTTTGTTTATATTTTTGTTGGATTACATTTGACACAAATCTTTTAAAAATTAAAGAACAAATAATTAATAGTTATTATTTGAATTCAAATGTTTAAATTTTGTGTATTTTGCAAATGTATTAACAAAAATGAATAACTTTTCTTAGCACATATTTATTTAGTACTTAAGCCAAAGGAAAAGCTCATTAGGTTTTGATAAGTTTCTAATTGGGTGTAGTCGAAGCTGAAGTCCTTTTGGCAGTGCAACTATTCAGGTGAACTGCGCTGTAGAAATGCTTAAATGCAAAATCACAATTTAGTTCAGTTGATGGATTTAAGATCCAATATGTTTATTGTATATTTTATATACAAACTGGAGATTCCTTAAAGACAACAACTATTTAAAAAAAATATCGAAATATATATATGTATATTTTCTGATGATGTTCAATAATCTTTTAGTTAATATTAGAACGAAACAGCTGCCGCACACATTTCGAATAGTTAACAATAAATTGCAAAATCAAATTAAAAAAATTAAAATCAACATATGTTTAAGCTACTTGCTAGATTGTAAAAAAAAAAGAACAAAAAATCGAGTTTTGTTTTGTACTATATAAATAATATATACAATTTTTTTTTTTACTTTGCATTTGCATCAACTTGTTTATATACATGTATATGTATATATATATATTAATTATATTATTAATATATATATATATATTAATTTTTTTTTTGATTGTTAACAATTTTTTTTATTTAATTTTTGATGCCGTGCATTAAATGCGCAATGGAAAAACACAATGGAATAAAATGAAAAAGAAAATAAAAACTATGTTTGCAAGCAAGCCTTATACAACTATTAATCAATTAACGCATCATATACATAATTATATATATACAAATAAATTGATATACGACTATACATGCTAAGCGCATATGCATATAAATATATAAGTCTTATATACATAGAGAATGTCATTAAAAATTGCTTTCGCTTTTATCGCTATTATAGCTGCCTATATGTTTTGGAATTGTACTTACTGCAAATCTGGACAGAGACCGCAGCCAATAACTAAATCTAATAACTGTAATTTTTCTTTGTATATTGTAAATTTCTTTTAGTATTGTTTTTTTTTTTTTTTCTTTTCGATTTGTATTGGTATTTAGCAGGCGTTCCTAATGGTTCTTCATGTCCAGCAATCAACTAGAACAGAACAGAACAGAACCAAAATCAAATTGTAACGAGTAGCGAGTAGCGAGTAACGAGTAACTGTAATTTGTAACTGATTTGCCATGTTTTGCATTTTGTTGTATAATTTTAGCTCAAAATCTAACACTCACCAATTTCCCCGTCTACCACCCCCTCACTCAGATATAATCAGCACAATGGAACGCAAAGCCAAGTTAATAATGTTGCTGGGCATATCTATATATACTACTTATATGAATATGTTATGTCAGCCATCTAGCTTTTGTAATTTAACTTTGTTATGTTTAAGTACAAGAATTGATGAAAGTGCAGTCAAATCGAATTATATACTCTTATCGTTTCTGTTGAGTAGCCTTGCAGAACTCTTGCTTTATAGGAAATAACTATGCATGCTTGAACGATTCGTTTGGTTTAAAATTATATTTGATGCCTAAAATTTCAATGAAATCGACAGAGAAATCCCCTTCGAGATCGGGCTTTAAATCAAATGTAATTATTTCTAATGAAATTAATAGAAATATAACAATGTGATTCGTTCGCTGCGCAATATATGTATAATGTTTCAAAGATCATTAAATGAATATAGCTAAGCTGTCAGACGAGTTCCGATGGAGCATATATGGTCAAGATAGGCACTCGGCTCGTAAGGCTATTTGAACAGTTGTTAGTTCGGACAAGACTAGAAAATGATCGAAAAAGTTGGTCCTATAATATAAATGGATTTGATGAATGCCCGTTTGCCAGCATATTTGAATAAATATATATTGTACTATGTTCTCAGTTCGCGAATTGTATTATTATTATTATTATCATTATCATTAGTATGCTATATTATATTATTTGCGTTTTGTTTATGCTCTGGCATATGAGATGAAAGCTATTTGGGATGTGCATATATATGCAATAGAATTTTACATTGACTTTTCTATATGTAAAAGTGTAAGTGTATGTGCATGTGTATGTGTATGTGTTTGCTTAATTAACTAAAATTTAAACTAATGGAAATGCCAATTTTTAAAGCTTGCATTAAAACAAATACTGAATTTATATAAAATACATGAAGCTATTTTTTAGATACTATTATTATATAGGTACACTGAAAACAAAATTAAGTAAAAAAATAATAAAAAAATTATATTATTATACATATATGTATATATATATAAATATATATATGAATGCTATGCTTGATAAGAAATGTGCCATAGGCGCTGGCGTGAAAAAAAAAAGAAAAAAAAAAACAAAACAAAAAAAAAGGACTTGCAAAACGCTAAATCAATGTACTAAAACTTAATTCAATTAGCATAAGTTATATAAATAAAGTATAAAAAAAAGAACAGCAATTTTTATAGCATAATATCGAAGAAGAAAAACAAAGAGAACGGAAAAACATACTAAACAAAAATTGGAAAATACTTTAAGTATGTGCTAACTACGCGGATTTTTATAAAATATACAAAAACAAAATATTTATTTCGAATTTTCGCATTGTTTTTTTTTGTTTGTTTTTTTTTTTTGTAATTTTTTTTTTTTTTTTTTTTTGATAAATGTAACCTCAAGTAAATCAAACAAATGGAATAAAATAAGCGAAACTACAAAATAAACTAAAATAAAATTTGAAGCAAAAACAAACAAAAAGCAGCCACAGACAAACAAAGAAGAGACTTTAACAAACAAAAACAACTTCATTATGAAACTAATATTATAAAAGAAAAGAAACAAAACAAAAAAATCATAAATATGTATGCATAACTACAAATTTACAAAAAAAAAAAAAAAAAAAACAAAAACCAATACAAATACAAACTACAACTACTACAACTAATTAAAATAAACAGCAGTAAAGAATAAAAAACAAAAATAATAATAAAAGGGAGCGTAAGAAGCAAAGTATATAAAAATGTAAACAAATGAAAAATAAATGAAATTTTTTGCAGGTCTATTATATAGTGAACAATGTTGCCATTTGATACGATTTTTTCCAACAAGACATTTAATATATATACATACATATATACCTTATATTCCGATTCAAATGGAATTTTTGTAATTTTGATAAAAACATTAAAAACTACATGAAAAAAAAAAACAAACAAACAAACCAACAAACTAAACAACAACAATACACATAAACGAAAACAAAGTAAAACATTGCGTGGAAAATGTGTTGAAAAAAATGCAACAATGAGAAATAAATGCAACAAAATGCCTAAAAATCCAACAAAAAAAAAAAAAGGAACAAAAACAAACAAATTTAGAAACATTTGTGTTTTATTTATTACCCTGACAAACTTGATACCAGGCCACAAAACGCTGTGCTGCAACTCTAATAAAACGTACGATGCCCTACTACTCGATTCTCAAAAATTCAAGTAAGTCCTGCAGATTTACATGCTTTGATCGTAAGTGTTGTGTTAAAATCGCTTGTTTTTATGTATGTTTCTTTGTATGCATGCATGTTTGTATGTATGTATGCATGCATGTTTGTATGTATGTATGCATGCATGCATGTTTGTATGTATGTATGCATGCATGCATGTTTGTATGTATGTATGCATGCATGTTTGTATCTATGTATGCATGCATGCATGTTTGTATGTATGTATGCATCCATGCATGTTTGTATGTATGTGTGTATTTGTGTATGTATGTATACATCTGTTCGTTTGTTGGTATATATATTTGTATGTATGTATGCATATATGTATGCATATAAGTATATATGTACCTAGATATTTGTATGTATGTGTGTATTTGTGTATGCATGTATACATCTGTATGTTTGTTGGTATATATATTTGTATGTATGTATGCATTAATGTATGCATATAAGTATATATGTACCTAGATATTTGTATGTATGCATGTGTGTATGTGTGCTGGTATGTGTGTATGTTTGTATGTATCTATGTATGTATGTATATATGTTTATTTGTTTGTATTTAAGTATGTATGTATGTATGTATGTATGACTGTATATTTGTATGTATGTATACATGTCTGTTTGTATGTACGTATGTATATATGTAGGTGTGCGTGTATGTTATATTGTACGAAACTCAGACCAGACGTTTAATTCTTTTTTAAAGGAGGAATCTGTGCTGTTAGACAAAACATGAGACGCCCTTCTATGCGATTCTCAAAAATTCAAGTAAGTCCTACAGATTTTCATGTTTTGATCACAAGGGTGTTGTTAAAATAGTGTGTTGGCAGACCTATAAACTTGCTTCTTTGTATGTACGTATGTATGTGTGTGTATGCAAGTGTGTTTGTAAGTATGTATGCATGTATATAGCCATGTACGTATGCATGTATGATTGTACTTATGTCTGTATGTCTACGCTTGTGTGCTTATATACATGTTAGTATGTATGTACGTTATTTTATACAAAACTTACAAAGTTTACTTTATAGGTAACTCTAACCGCTGTGCTGCAAATTAAACATAAGACTGCCTACTATGCGATTCTCAGGAGTTCAAGTAAGTGCTAGGTTTTCTATCAACTGAACTATCAACATATCTTTTAAAAATAACTGCCAACTAAGCATCTGTCTTAGACATTTAGACATCATTTATCGAGGACTACGAAAAGCAAATCACATTACTTAAGAGTGTCCTCTAGCGTTTGGAAATAGTTTGGTATTCGATTTGATTAATTGTAAGGTCGATATGTATTGAATTTTATCAGGAAGTTGCAGTTGTAAGGTTATTAACTAAAGTCTTGAATTTAGTTGCCAGAC